AATGCTTTTCAGCTTTATCTCCAGACCATCCCTTCCCTCACAGTTCCTTGTCCTGAGTTTTAGAAGTAGGAAAAGTAGGCCAAGAACTGTGATGGAAGGGATGGTGTTTGGAAATGTGTCTCCCATATAATTCAGAATCTTTTATGTTTAGGGGATGCTCAGAGAGTCCTTTGGAAGTGATAAATATGTTTCTTATCTAGAATTTTTTCTCTAAGCTCCTGGGAATTTTGTTCCAAGTTCAATACTTCAAAACTTGTAGTAGAATTGATTGTAGTAAAAGACTGTTTAGCATTTCTTTTTCAAGTTTGGATTGATCCTTACCTCTATTCTTGGCACATGTAGCTAATAGAAAGTAAAATTTCACTACTTATTTTGGAAATGTATGTTTGTGTCACAGTTCCTTTCAGATAACTATTGAATCTATTTTATTTGCTTTTAGACAGGATTTATGGTAGCTTGCCACAAAATCATAGTGTATAGAGAAGCTAAGTTGAAAATGAGATAAACAGACAAACAAATAAGAAAACCTGAAGAGTGGTTGTGGTGACATACACTTGCAATCCCAACAGTAGGAAAGTAGAGGCAGGGGGCCATTTTAAGTCCCAGAATGAGACCTTGCCACAAACAAACAGACAAAGCCAACAAAAAGCCAAGGGAAGGAAATGTGCTTAGGCACCAGCTGGATTAAGACCTAGATGAACTCTGAAGTCTTTGTCAGTCACTCTTGAGGTATGGTGCCTTTCCTTTTCCATTTCAAGGTCAAAGCCCAATCTCCTGTAGCAATACCAGGTTAACAGGCAAAGCACAGTGATAGAGTAAAGTTCTATGTAAATCCAGGGGAGGTGAATGTAGGGTTAGGTTTGGTGAAGAAGGGACCGCTGTGGAGAATGGCACTAGCTGTGGAGGCCAGCACGGCCTGTCTGTTCAGTTTCTTGGGCTTCTTATATAAATATATAAGTATTCCTCTCAGTATGCAGCAAGACACTGCTGAAATTTAGAGAAAAGAAATGACGTTAAGCGTGGTGGCTCACCAGTAATCCCAGCACTCACTCAAGGCCAGGCTGGGCTACATTGAGAGCCTTTAATCATAACATATTTGGAGGCAGACACTGGTGGATCTCTGTGAGTTCAAGGCCAGTCTGGTCTACATAGTGAGTTCCAGGACAGCCAGAGCTATATAGTGAGACCTTGTCTTGGAAAAAATACATACCCCACCACCAAAAAAAAAGAAAGAAAGAAAAAAAGATTTACTTTCACTAACGTGCATGCTGTGTATGTCAGGAGTGAAGGTACCTGCAGAGGCCCGGAGAGAGCACTAGATGGCTTGTGAGTTGTCTGACGTGAGGGGTGGGAACTGAACTCAGGTCCTCTGGAAGAGTGGTGAGTGCTCTTAATCACTGAGCTGTCATCTCTCTAGCCTGCTTGTTTCTACAGCTTCTCATTACAGACTCCTGACCTTACTGCCTCTGCTTCCTAGTGCTGGGCTACAGTGTGAGCCGACATGCTGAGCAAGTCTTTCTGTTTTCTCCCTAGGCCTTGTGGTCTAGAGTAACATTCATAGCAATTTATCAGTTTGTTTTAAATTGAAGTTAGGTAATTACCAACTTTTGTTTATTTAGCTCTGGCTTGGGAAATGGCGTCGTGGGGGCATTGCCTAGTGTCACTGCTGAGACCAAGGCACAGCTCTGCTCAGCTGTTTTAGGTCCTTAGGTAAAGGTAAATGGAGAAACCTGATTGATTTTGATTCTTGTTTTGAGGCTACTTCCTAATTTATAAAGGAGGATAGAAGTTATCTGGTAGCCTCAGGTACATTAAGATGACCAGTGTATAGAAAGGGAGCCAAACATACTGTCTAGGACAAGTAAATACAATGGCTTTCTCCTTTGTTTGCGCTTCCTCCTAACCTGAAACCTTTGTTAGAAGGAAGTTCAATCAAGATAACTGTACTTAAGAACAACCACCATGAAGAAAGACAGAGAGATAAAGCCTTGGTTTGTGTTTAGGACAGTTTGATTTGAATTTTCCTGCAGTCAGAGTTGGCAAGGTTAATGTGCGCCAGCTGAGAAGCCCCACTGTTACCTTCTGGCAGCCCATATGCAGATGCTGCTGTATTAATTACCAAAGAAAACCGGATTAACTCAGAGTCCTTTAGCTGTCTGGGAGGCAGCTGCTGTCTCCAGTGTCAGACACAGCTGACACTGTACTTAATAGTGAGTAGTTCAGGAGGAGCTAGCATAAGTAAATTCATGTACAATCTAAAAATAAAACCAGCCAAGCTTTAGGAATCAGAGGCAGGTGGATCTCTGAATTAGAGGCCAGCCTTATCTACTTAGTACCCAGGCTAGCCATGCCTATATAGACCCTATCTTGGAATAGCACTAACAACAACCAGATCTGTTAAAATGAGAATTTAGAACCAGAAAGAGTGTTAAAGATGGCCTAACTCTGTCAGTTCATGGATGAGCAATGTGTATCAGAAAGAGCCAGTAGGCTGCCAGGATCAGAAAATCACCTCAGGGCTGTTCCCATTGCCAGCTGCTCCTTGTCACAAAGGTGCCCAGAAAAGGAAGACATCCCAGCTGCTTTCGGCTTCATTTCTCTTGTGCACATATTCAAATCTTACGGACATGTTGTAGACCAGTGGGAAAGCTAAAGCCTCATGGGAGAAGCAGAGGGCTTGGGTAGGATATGCTGGAAAACAAGGGAGAATGCTGCTGATAAGGACCTTCCCAGCTCAGCAGGTTGCACATGGAATCCTGGCAGAGCGCCAGCAAAAGGAGCAGAGCTGGGCTCAACCTCAGCCCCCTTGCCATTGCACTAGTTTTTGGCTGCTTTGACTGGAGCAGCTCATTTTTGTAGACTATTTTTGTAGGAGAGATGGAACATGGGAAGGTGATGATTTGGGTCAGATGAATAATGGGGTGTGTCTCTGTGGTTTTGGCTGATGCAGCATGCTTTATTGGCTTTCCTGTTGTTGACACTTTGTGTCAGAGGTGTTGTCCTGAAGGACTCAGTGGGTTTTCTTTATTACCCACTCTGCTAGAGGGAGCAGCAGTGGCAGAGCTTAGGGCTGTTGCTTTGTTTTACTTATAAAACTGCCTTTATGATAGTAAAGTCAAGGTTGTCAGTTCGAACAGCCATTTAGGTGAGAATCTGGGAAGGGCTAGGAAAAGGAAATGGAGACATGCAGATGAGAGTGAAGGCAGGCTAGCTGACATCTTCCTTTCAAATTCTGTAGTTCTGTTTTCCTCATAGCTACTCGCTATGTAATGATGGAACATTTTAGGAATGATGGCTCTCTTGAAACTTCATTACGACACTGTGCTTTGAAGACATAGTAGAGTCAGAGTCACTTCTGTAGACAACTCTTCACAACCAATGAATTCTTACACAGAACAAATACATAATTTTCAAATGCTGTCAGCCATTGTGTTGGGTGCGGAGGATACAGAGAAATAGGAAGGTTCTTTATGCGTTGACTCTTAGAAGCAGTTATTAATAGGAGAACTTCTGCCCTGTATGGTATATATTATAGTGTATAGTGAACAAACAGACACAGGACTTAGGACTTGCCCATTGTTCTTTGCTAAGTAGTCACACAGACCATTGTTTGTTCCTTCCTGGTTTCGAGTGTAGGCCAGGGTTAGACCAGCGAGTAGCCTGGTGTTGTCTACTCCTGTGCTTCTTAGACAGCTGGCATAGAAACAGGTACTCAGGAGACGCTCTCTAGGCTTTCAGAGGAACTGTCTCTTCCCCAGAGAGTAGGTTTCCCATTTCTAGTGTGCTAATGTATGTGCTGAGGCCAGGATGCTGCACTTGTAGCTAGACATGAAACAGATGAGCATAATAAATGCAGGGAGAATAGACCTCTTAAACCTTTCTTGTGATGCCACTTGTGGAGGGTAAGGGAGTGTGGGGCAGGTATGTTCTGAAGAACTACCTTTTCAGTGAGTCAGGCGTCTTGCCTCATGAACAAAACAATACCACAAGTGAGTTGAAATAATATATTGTTAGGTGAGTAAGGCAAATAGTATCTCAGTATTACCACCTTAAGTTTCAATTATGACGTGTGTGTTTGACTCAAAGATGGGCTTTCCCGAATCTTAGATAGTGGCAGACCCCACTGCTGAAGCAGCTTGAGACCGACAGAGGTTTTTCTTGAGCATTTCCAGGAACCAGTTCCATACTCTTTTCCAAGCAGTCTTTTAAGCCTTTTGCTCTGCACAGCTCTACTGAAATTTGTTTGAGGAAGTAAGCGCTTTAGGTTAATGGTGGTATCCTCAAAGGAGATTATTTTTGAGATTACATCTCTTAGATTTGCCTAGATTTTATCCTGCTGGGCAGTGTTGTCCCTTTGTCTTACTCATGGTCTTGTCAGCTATCAACACAAAGAGTATTAGTTGATTAGGGAATATAGATCTTGATTAGGCATCCAGTATCTCGAGAAAACTTGGCAGCTGGGAGCTGTCATTGGCTATCACTCTGATGAACTGGAAAATGCTTTTGAGCTCATGTCATCTTGCAGAGGTTTTTACTGGCCCCCATATGTGTATCTATCAGCATAAAATAAGTTTAAATGAGGAGCATAAGCTAAAACTGCATAGGGTAGGGACTTAAAGGGGCTGTGCACTCAAGTATTTCACCTTCTGCCAGAGGAAGGCTTTAATTTGATACATTTAGATATAGTTTCTACTTGAACTCAGACCCTAATTATTGCCATCTAATGATCTTGTGTTTGTGATGGAATCCTTGTAAGCTGTTCCTCCACTGTACAAAGGAGAGGGACTGTTAGGTCACTGTCACCTTCTGTTTCCCCATGATGAACTGGCCAGATGGATATTTGAAGAACATTTTCTGCATTTCCTGGTACCTCCTTTAACCAGAAGTTTCCTGGAGATTTCCCTCTAGAACTGTGCCTTTCTAGTGGAGTCTCTGGAAGTTGCTCTACGCCCGCTTCTTACCTGCTTCTTTTTCCTCTACTCTCCCCATTCCCCAACCAGGCCAGCTGAGCTGCATTTCCTTCCCACCTAAGGAAGAGAAGTATCTCCAGCAGGTTGTGGACTGCCTTCCCTGTATATTGATCCTCGGCCAGGACTGTAACGCCAAGTGCCAGCTGTTGAACCTGCTGTTGGGGGTGCAGGTGCTTCCCACCATCAAGCTGGACAGTGACGAGAGCTGTAAGCTCCGGCGCCTCCGCTTCACCTATGGGACTCAGACTCGGGTCAGCCTGGCACTCCCCGGTCAGTATGAGCTAGTACACACGCTGGCTGCACACCAGAACAACTGGGAGACCATCCCTGAGGAGGACTTGGAGGTTCAGGAAGACAGCGAGGATGCTGCTCATGTTTTAGCTGAGCTGGAGGTGACGATGCATCATGCTCTCCTACAGGTACCAGCCTTAAATGTGTGTCCGCACCGGCTTCTTTTCTGACTTTTTAGGAAAGTAGTCTGGTGCTGTGTATTCTAAGAGGAATGTAGAATAGGAGGGATGTGATCCACGAAGCTGACTGGGCAGGCGGTAGCAGTTTTATGCCTGCCTCTGCTCATCATACTGCAGGCCCTGGGGAATGTTTGTCTGCGTCAGACAGGTAGGGTTATGTGATTGTTGTATCTGACAAGATCTTATCGAGTAGTTATCAAAGCCAGAAAGCCTTTTTGTTTCTAGTACTGTTTCTAGCCATCTCTTCCTAAAGGGAAAGTGATATGATGAATAATTAATACTTAGTAGAACTGAGGCCATGTGAAAAAATTGTATTGCTTCTTCTCAGCACTAGCTGTTAATTTACTGAGTGGGGCAGTTCATGTCCCCAACCTTATAAGGAACCCATGTCTGATTCAATATAACGGAGCAAAGCATCCCTATCATTTGGAGACTACCTTGGCTTCTTTTATGTAAGCTCCCAAAGAAAGAGAAAGCATAGGTGCTTTGGCATCTCCTATGCTATCGTGTTGCCTCTCCGTCATTCCTGCTTCCACATAAGAAGGACTCCTCTCTTTTTCTGGCCTTCATTTGCTACTAGATAGTTAGGACTATGCCATGGCTAGACAGAAATGGGCATTGGTGAAGGATGTGATGGTTGGGGTCACATTAGGTAGGATTAAAAGAGCACGATAGTGCTCAAAGTTTGGGGTTCATCACCTTGTGTGGCTGTACTAGACAGAATGGGCCAGTTTGGCCAGCGTGGGGGAGTGCTTCTGTCTTTGTTAGTTCCTCTCCATCTACCTTTCTTCTAAGACACTTGGTCTCTCAGCCAGTAACTATGACCTATAACAGAGATAATCTTCTCAAGTCCTTCTACGTGTTTCTTTAATCTCTATGGCTGGAGTGGGATATGTAATAATCCACATTTTTCTCTCAGCTCAATTTTAGTGGTGGGCTTCCTGTTTTCAGACACTCTTACTACTGAGCTACATACCAGCCTTATTTGATTTACATTTCTATTGTTCTTATTTATTAATTTTGTGTGTGTGTGTGTGTGTATGCGTGTGTTTGGTGTATGTGTAGAAGCCAGAGCATTATGTCAGGTGCTCATCAAACATGCAAGACACACACACACACGCACATACACACACACGCACGCACGCACGCACGCACACACACACACACATACACACACGCATGCACACACACACATACACACACACACACACGCACGCATGCACGCACACACACACACGCACGCACGCACACACACACACACACACGCACGCACGCACGCGCACACACACACACACGCACAGATTATAATTGAGGAGGGTACTGGGATTACAATACTAGAGTAGCTTTTTCTTGGCACAGTTAAAATGAAGGTCTCACTCTTCCTGAGAAGTTCTGTAGTTTCTCCTGCCCTTTCCTGTGGCTGATGAGATTTCCTTTATGCAGTTTCTCCAGATTTGCTTTCTTCTCCAGTGCTCTGATGTGGGACTGGGAGCAGACTCCAGGGACTCTAAACTTAGCTTCCTGTCATGCTGGGGGCTTTGTGGCCTCTGTGGGTTTGGCTGCAACTCTCTCACCGCATCCTTTCATCTGTGGAGTAATCAAGGATGCTGAGCTCACTGCTGTGAGCAGGGTACAGCTACATGGAGAATGCTCATGCCTGTGAAAAAGATATTTTGTTCGGCTCCAGTTATATTTAGGATCAATGAGTAGTTCCGTGCTTCTGTTTGATTTGGAGAGGGGGTGGTAAATAAAGGAAACATTTAGCTGAAGGAAACCAAAATTGAATTAGGGGAAATGGATGTCCCTTTGAGCTGTCAAACTATCAAGGCAGAATTTCCCCCTGCCCTCTTATACAATGGTCATTTTTCTAATACGCTAAAGTCCTCATAACTTTGTCATTTTCAGCATATTCCAAGAGACCAACTTATATCAACTCACACTTCGTGGCACTTCCAACTTGTCTGTCTGGATCCCCTGAGATTCCTGGTTTACACTTTAATAAGAGGAACAAGGTGAAACCATTAGTATTGGAGACCTTAACTAGTGTTCAGATGTGCTTTTTTTCCCGGTTGGCAGTGCCTTTCACACTTCCTCATACACAGTATTTTATATGCAGACACACTTTGCCTTCCCAACCCCCACTCCCTTTCTAGCATCTGCATCTACCCACCTCCTTTAAAATTTCCTCTTACAGGGCTAATGGAACAGTTATCTGCCTCACACTTGCACAGTCTGGTGGCAGTGGTGTGTGTGCATGCGTGTGTGTGTGTGTGTGTGTGTGTGTGTGTGTGTGTGTCTTTTGTAAAGATTCAATTTGCTCAACCTGAGAGGATTCCCTCAGTCTCAGCAGTGCTTACTTTACTGTGGCTGTTACATAATTTCAGTTGCTCCGAGCTTGTTCTTCCTCTTTTCTCCTCCCCCTCCTCCCTGTCCTGTAACCCTCCTCCCTGTCCTGTAACCCTCCTCCCTGTCCTTCAACCCTCCTCCTCGTTCTCTTCCCCTCCCCATCATCATCATAAGTGTTACTTATTTTGCACAAGATGGCCTCGAACTTGCAGTTCTTCTGTCGTAACCTACTGCATGCTGGGATTTTAAGTATGAGCCACCACAGCTAGCTATGTTGTTCTATCCTGTTCAGTAGCCTGTTTATCCTGACAGGTACTTCTTGGCCCTTTGTGAAATGTACATGTCACCTCAACTAGCCTGGCATGGTGGCATGGTTATTGGTTATTTTCTCTTTATAACCCTCAACTACTAGCTGTCAGTGAGAATAATCTGTTTTTAATATATATACTGATTATTAATTATACTTAGCAGTTAATGCTTTAAAAATCCAGTCACCACAAAGAATCATGAGAGAACAAAAATTTATACAAAATTTTAACCCTGAAATTTCCTAAGATCGTTGCTAGGAGACCAGCTTCTCTCACGTTCTGACTAGTTATTGGCATTTATTCTGCTGCCTAATAAAACTAACATTGTATATTACCATGACCAAAAGCAAGGTGGGGAAGAAAAGGTTTATTTGGCTTATTTGGCCGGAGGTCCTAGGTTCTATAAGAAAGCAGGTTGAGCAAGACAGGGGAGCAAGCCAGTAAGCAGCAGCCCTCCTTGGTGCCTGCATAAACTCCTGGCTCCAGGTTCCTGCCCTGTTTGAGTTCCTGTCCTGACTTCCTTCAGTGATGGACAGAGATGTGGAAGAGTAAGCCAAACGCACCCTTCCCTCCCCACCTTGCTTATGGTCATTGTGCTTCATCACAGCAGGAACCCTAACTAAGACAGTAGAGCACCTGTGTAGCATGCACACAGCCCTGGGTTCCACCCCACACAGGATATATGAGGCATACTGATTCACACCTGTAATCCCAGCACTGTGGAGGCAGAGGCAGGAGGATCCGAAGTTCAGGGTCGTCTGTAGCTACACAGAGAGTTTGAGGCCACTGAGATGTATGAAATCTTACCTGAAAACAATCCTGGGCCAGACGTAGTGTCACACTCATCTAATCCCAGCACCTGGGTGGATCTCTGAATTAGAAGTCAGCCTGGTCTATATATGAGTTCCAGGACATCTATGGCTATGTAGAAAGGCTCAGTCTCAAAAAACTGAAAAAAGAAAAAAATCCTAAGATTTTTAATCGTACCATAGTGGCTTTGCTGTCTCTTAAAACAACACCTGATATGATTGTGTCTTTTCTCAGTTCATTATTCATTTGCCTTTGGCCTTCCAAGCTAGCTCTTGGAGGTTATCTGACAGTTTAAAGTCTTAATCAGGATACCCTCTTTTATCTTCTTCCTTTGCTACCACTATCCTACACAATATTTTTGTTGTTTGTTTTTCCAAGACAGGTTGGCCTTGAACTCACATAGATCCGTCTGCCTCTGCCTCCCGAGTGCTGGGATTAAAGTCATGAACCACCAATTCCCAGCCTAAACAGTTTTAACCCCTTTCAGAACCTGCTGTGTCTCCCTCTGAGGAAAGGCTAGTGTGTGTGTGTGGGGGGAGTCTACTCAGTCTCAGGAACTGAAAGAATGGTCAGTAGGAAGGAACTTGACTGTTAAGGTTCTTGAGAATATTTCCTCTGATTTCTTTTGAGATATTCTTAGAGGATGCTCTCTTGTTTTATGTGGGGTCTGTACTTTGCAGGGGGTGAACTTTTTAAGCATAGAGTGAGAGAGAGGATTCTTCAGACCCCTGCTAGCATGCCATGCCTTCTCTTTCAGAGCTTTCCTGACATCAGAGCAGACAGTTCCTGATACACAGTAGGCCGTCAGGCACTGATTAAACCTGGCCTTTGTGGATAGGTGGATGAGGAACTGTGTAGCCATCTGGATTTGTCACTGAGCTCCGTGACTGTGTGAGATGTTATCCCTATCTTTTGGGATTGATGTGAAGCTAAAATGAGACAACATGTACAAAGAAGCCATCTCCTCCTTCCATTTAGGTGAATAAACCAGTGTTCTCCAGAAGAGCTCCTGGGCTGGAGAGGTGGCTCGGTGGTTAAGAGTGTAGATTCTTGCAGGACCAGAATTTAGTTCCCAGTCAGGTGGATCCACTCATAACTGTCTATAACTCTGGCTGCAGGGGATCTGAACCCTCTTCTGGCCTCTGCAGGCACTGCACACACACACACACACACACACACACACACACACACACACAGAGAGAGAGAGAGAGAGAGAGAGAGAGAGACAGACAGACACACACACTTTACATTTTCTAATTTTGAAAATAATGAAGTTCCTATTTTCTCAGTAATTTGTCTCTTCCCTAATAATCAGTCAAATACAGACTTTTCCTTTTCTTTCAAACAGAAGTCCTCATGCCAGCTAACTTTTAGTTAGTCAGCCTTACTAGAAATAAAATTCTTCATAATTCATTATGACTTGCTTTTATAGTAAAATGAGAGGAGAAAGCTGTTTAAGAAGGTACCGTACAGAGTGTATGAAAC